AGTTCCCATCAAGCATAGAAAGTTCGTGATTCAGAAGGACAAGTTGTTCGACTCTGTTTTGTCCTCGCTCCCAGATGGTGCCCTGTGTCAACTCCTCGTGAGTCAATCGTTACTTGACTGTGCAGTGCCTTTTCTAGCTTGGCATACCTTTTCAGACTACCCGGTTCCGGTCAACAGTTTGTCCGTTCGAAGCTGCAGCCCTTAACAGGGTCCGAGTTAGCGTTGATACGTTGATACACAAGTTTGAAGGAATTGTTGCGTGTTCATGTGGATGACTTCATGTAGATGAGACATGTTAAGTTTTACGGTTGGTCACTGATAAAGTCAGAGCACAAGCTCGTGGTATTCAAAAAACCAGTTTGGTTTCTTGCTTCGGCCTGCCTTTGGAGGTGCAGCACGGCCACTGGCCTCACACACTCATTCAGATGTCTGCATGGAAGTGCATGGAATCAACCAATTGAGAGACAGGGCTATACTCTGTGGTGCGGAGATAATATGTCTCGGGTAATGTAGTGAAACCCCAAAAGACAAGTGTCAGAAACCCTTCAGGAATGAAAAAGTGAAGGTCCAAAGCAATAACTTCCCATGCAAAATCACCCAAAGTAGTTTCAGGTTTTGCCGCTTGCTTAAATAGTCCATCCCCCTGCTGGTACATGCCCCTTATCACCATTGGCTGCTAATTGAATTACTTGTTTGGGGAAGTGTTTGTTGATCATTAGGGGCCGTTGTCTCTTGATATCATATACCTGCGCAAGCATGATGCCCTTTCAAAGCAGGCAAAATGTAACAGTTGTACAACTAAATAGAGATTTTGATTAGGATAACAAGTGACTTGTCCCGTCGTTGATTTTGTGGAAGTTTTGTAAGTCAAGGATTAAATATTTGACATTCCATTCGAATCTCACGTTTGGGTCGGTTCTCGGCGCGAAGAAGCGCAAGCGGCCCCCTAAGTGGGAGTGGGGCTTTTGTTTTCGGACGTTGGGAAGACATTTTATGGTTGGGAATACCTTGGATGGATCCAGGCAAGTCCTTTGCGACCCCGCTTGATGGGACTTTTGACCTCATGCTGAGCGGCCTTCGCCCTCCCAGGTTGCAAGACAGGGGCCAGCCAACAAAGGTGCTGTACCCAGCATGCTTCTGTTAATGAGTCTAGCTCGTGCTTGGCGTTCTTGAGTGCAGCATGGTTATGTGACTAGCTTACCTTCCAGTCACCTTGCACCTCAGCCACTTGTCGAACGGAATATTTTGGGGATATCATATTCTCAAGTACCGTTTGGGCTGCTTGAAAGGAATACCCAGAGCAACCATGCCCTGTTTTTGGGCTTTGTGAGGCTCGCCTGCTTTATCCTTTCAACGAATGCTATTCCGCGTTCGTCTTCTGGGTGACTGGTGAAGCAGAAAAGTAGTTTCCTGCTCAACATTATGCATTTAAACCTTCAGTCACCAAACCTTCAGCTGAACAGGTGCACCACCGTCTAAACAATTTGATTAGGTGCACCAAACCTTCAGCCCCAAGCATCTGCGTTTCTTTTGCCCAGGCAAATCACCGCTGCATTCCTCGTAGAGGAGCTGCAGCTTGATTGGCGTGTGGGAGCTGACTGGTTTGAGGCAGATGCGAGACACGCACCCGGGTGTAAATGGATGGGAAATGGATATGTACACGGTATATATGTATATTGATGTACAGAATATGTATATGTAATATATATATATATATATGCTACCCCCCCTCCCCGGGACCCCCCCCCCCCCGGACCCGCGCACTAGCTATAAATATGTATATATGGCCGTGGCTCAAAATTAAAGAGCTAGGGCTACGCAGGTTTTGGTCCATGTTTCCACTTACCAGGGTTCCATTTTGGTTTATTTTGGTACCGGTTTTTTGAGCCATACCCATATATATATATATACATATGCTCAGACCCCACCCATGATCCACTTTTACTCCTTTGCACATCTTCCATTTTTGCAAATCCACTCAAAAGCTACAATAGCTTTGCACATTTGCTCATTTGCCATCTTCCACATTTTCGAATCTGCCACGCTACTGTCCATTACCTTTCCACGTGCTTGCCAAAGTGCAATTAACTTTGTTTAAGTCCCCTGTTTGGAAAATATTTCCTACTCAAATTAGCAATCGAAATAGACATTCAAATTCCATTTCCGTAGCAATTATCTTTGATTAAAGGCCGATTTGGAAAGTACTTCCTACTTTAACCCTCAGTTAGAATACACATTCAACCGCACATGGTTTGTTCTTCAATTCTATTACAATTCTAGCTAGATGTTGATCTACATCTTATTTAATTGATACAGCAAATATATTCGATCTATTCCCATACTAAGTTCTATTCATGGACAGGACGCTTTCTTAGTTTCTAACTGAAGATAGAAGTCTAATGGAGCTCGTGCCCGGGCCCTATTAAATTCTTGGCACGTTCTGCTAGCTAGTGTTAGTTTCACATCACATATGGAAAAATAGTATCCTTTCCATTCTCATTCAACACAGAAATCCTACTAGACTTTCTTCCTTTAAACGCTGATTAAACCTCAATTGGAGTCCAATTTGGTATAAGGAGCCTTATAAGGAGTTCTTTTGACAGAGCTTTAACAGGAGCTGTACATGGAGCCCCACAAGCAGCTGTTCAAGGAGCATAAGGAGCTTTATTAGAACTCTAACATGTGCATTATAAGCTGTATAAGGAGCCTCAAATGCAGCTTTGCAATGACCCTTAGAAAGAGCTTTATCATGAGCCTTCAAAGGAGCTGTACGAGCTGTACAAGCATTTGTGCAATAAATTTTAAAAGGAGCCTTTAAGGAGCCTTAAACAGAGCTTTATGATGAGTCGTGTAAGGAGCTTTATTTGAAGCTTTTTGAAGCTTCATTCAAACAGTCTTGTGAGCACCCAAGTGAGCTTCAAAAGGAGCTTTGCAAGCAGCTTTATACTGCGATCCTTATATGGAGCCATGACATAGAAGAGCTGTATAAGGAGCTTGAAAAGGAGTCTGACAAGCATCTTTACAGGAGCCTTATGAGGAGTTTTATACGGAGCCTTGTACAAAGAGCCTTATAACGAGTGTTCAAGGAGTGTTGAATTCCAACTTAACATTGAACATCTAGAAGACTGGTCACACCCGTTCATTGTGGCTCCAAGAAGGCTCAATCATGGCAGTACCAAACCTGCCCAAATATGCCAAGAAGCACAACTCGAGAAAGCAACAAAACACAATTTAGAGGAGAAGTGTCGGTTGTTGCCAAATGGGTTTGGTCTTGGTGGTTTTTGCACGTTTTCTGTTGGCTGGTTTTCCCTGAGTTTTGTTGGGTTATTCAGATCTATCCCTTCAAACAACAAAACAAAAACAATAACTACGGTCCTCATGAAGAAGGGACCCAAAACAGAAAAACCAGAAAAAGCAAAAACCAGGGGCCTCATGAAGAAGGGCCCCAAACCAGAAAAACCAGAAGGAAAAAACAGAAACACCAACACCAGGGGCCTCATGAAGAAGGGCCCCAAACCAGGAAAAAACAGAGAAAAAAGAGGAAAACAATCAGGGTCTAGAAGATAGATTATGGAGGTCACCCTTCTTCTGAAAAGCCCTGGTTTTTTGGTTTTTCTGGTTTCTCCGGTTTTTCTGGTTTGGGGCCCTTCTTCATGAGGCCCCGATTTTTTTGGTTTTTTTCTGGTTTTTTCTGGTTTTCTGTTTGTTTTTTTCCTTTTTTTTCTCGTTTTTTTTTTCCGTTTTCCTTTGTTTCCTGGTTTTTCTGGGGTTTGGTGCCCTGCCACCAGAAGATCTTGGTTTCTTTCACTTCCATAGGACCTTGGTTTTTCCTTTAGACCATGTGTTTCTTCGATTTTTCAGCTTTTCCCCACTGTTTTTTGAACTTTTTGGGCTTGGGGGGGGGGGGTACCATATATATATATATATACATATATATATATATGTATGTATGAAAGAAGTATATCTGTGTTCTGTTTATATATATATATATCATACATATAATGTATGCATACACATGGTAGCCACCCCAAGACCTACATGTTGCATACAACCCTGTAAATTTGCATTGTTGTTCCACCAATTTCAGGGCCTGCCCTCACATGTCATTTTGCACATCATGTAGCAGATGGAACATGGTTGTCAAATGTATTCAGTGAAACCAAATACATGAGAGCTGAATTGGGTTTAGCGAGAAGTGGTTTCCAGCTAAACATACCAAAGCAAATTATGGCTACAGAAAGGTATGCCATGCGTGCATCCATGCTGCAGCTCAGCAGTTTTATCAAAACTCGCATTGTTCGCATAGTAGGCTGGTTAAGCATAGCGAGTATGTGGCCAACTGTTTTGGGTCCACAGAATGTTGAGAAGCTGACAATTCACAGAGCTATTTTCGAGAACTCCCTGTTTCTCCGATAAAGCATGTAAGACAGCCTCATGCCTTACTACTCACATATTGCTCATGTGCTGCCACAATACTGCAATTTCAACTAGTACTCATAGCACAAGCAAATGGATACAAGCTTTCACAAGTTGTCCTAACTTGCCCCAGGCATCAGCATCCATAGAAGATAGTCTAGGGAGTTATGCAGAAACAATTCAACACACGTGGTGTCACCCTCAGACACCAACAGTCCAACATAGAAAGCACAGAATTTCCAGGTATTTCCTGAGGCACTTGCATCTAAGTCAATCATGGCATCACCAGCACCAGCACAAGCACCAGCAGAGAAAATGTTGCGCAACATGTTGCGGAAAGGCAGGCGGGTTAGTCGCGGTTGGAGGAGGCCCCGGGTGGGGGGGGGTTGCAGTTTTGGATCATGTAAGGGTGTAAGCCCTCTAGAACAGGATGCTCTGGCGTCGCGACGCGTTTCAAATCCGGGAGGTTGACCCTTCAACAGCTACATGGCATGTTGCCTTAATTTTTGGTTGTCCCGTTGCTGCAGCTTTGATCGACTTGCAGTGGTTCGAAACTGCCTGGCAGGCCCATCTGTTGGACTACGATGTGCACAGCAACTGGGGGCAATGGGCGCGATCGGCAGGCGCGATTGCTTGAGCCGACGAATTCGTGATATCCCAAGGGTTGAGTGGCAGTCACTCCCTTTGTTCGTTCTTCAATGGTGCATGTTTTGGCGGGAAATAGATGGAGCCAGCATGGCCCCTCCCCCTTCCGCACCAGGGGTGGCCCCAGTCAACGACGCCAAGAAGGAGCGCATGGGGAGCTACCGGTACTATGATCTGGCTATGCAGCAGAAGGGAGCCAAGCAATACATCCGGCTCCTTGAGTGAAGCCTCTTCAAGCCAATGCAGCATATGTCGGCGGTTTGTTACACCCAAGTTTGGGGATGGTCCCATTCCATCTTCCAGCCCAAGCCTGCAGTGCTTCCATTCGTGCTTCGTATCCATGGATATCTATGGCACGAGTTGTTTAGCAGAGAGATGTTTAGGCGCGCTTCTCATTTTGAGAGCTGGTTGCGACCTTCCGGCTGTGCAATCAGCTGATGTCAATCGGTGAGTGTGACCTGGAGGGGGCTTTTCGGGGTTGCCTTGAAACAAACAGCGGGCCCCATGTCTTGGACAACCTCAAATCACATTGTGCCTGAGGACTAAGCACTTCTTTCAATACTCTCTCAGGCTAAGCTAGATGGTGCGTATGAGTCTGTGTCATTGTCTAGATGACGTGTGTTCCAACATGGCATTGTCAAGTATGTTGCGTGCGAGAAACACGTTACGATATTGCCACATTCGTATTCCAGAGCTGGTGGCGTCAGCTTCCCGGGTCCCTTCGTTCCCAGGTAGAGACTCGGTATTGAGGGTTAACAGGGCTCGAGTCAGAAGCAGCCTGTGCCGGTGGGTTTGGTACCGGGTACCAAAAAAGGCAGGCGGGGACCCCCAGCCATTTCTGGGACTGGGCGGGTTCCGAGGAACTGGGTTCCAGAGCTGGATGAGTTCTTGGACGAGGCATAGCTTGGGAACTCGGGATATTCAGTATAGAGGACCCCTATTTTGAGAAACGTGTCCTGTTTTTAGAGCAACCCATTCTTTTACAGGAGAACTAAAAGGAACACCACCATATTTTTGTTGGGGGGGGGGTCCTATATAAATACATATATATATACACCTACATATACATAATATATATATATATACAAGACACACCCACCCAAACACCGAGGTGTTTCTTTGCTGGGGCTTACTGTTGATGTATTCATTGGTCTGATCTGACTGTGACTGTTTGAGGACGATTTCAGCGTCCCTGCGGCTTCTCGATGGAAGTATTTGTCGTTCGGAGTGGATGGTGTTCGGCTCCGTGACTTGTTCAGAGACCAGAACAGGTGCGGTCTGTTTGTTTGCCTCGCCCAAACATCCCAGCGGGCTTGGCACCGTTGATTGATTAGTTGGGTTACACACACACACACACACACACGTGCAGCTGTTTCACCCATACCTTCAGCAGATTGCAGCTCAAAGTGGAACCAAAAAGCAATGGCCTTCCTGTCCTCCCAGAAGCCTATCCCCTAAGACTGTTGCAGGGACCGTTCTTGGGGGCCTTTGGTTTCCTCCCTGACCGGTGACTGCTTTAGAGCTCACGGATCCTGAAGCATTGATGAATGCTGGTCCAAATGTGGATTGAGTTGCAGGTGTTTGCAGGGGAATTCCAGGGAACCCTCAAGCAAGTATTGAACCGGATACAAATACATGTGTGGTCACAGGAATTCTACCATTGCTGTAGGTTGGCTTAGTCGTAAGGCACAGTACATGCTGAGGATTAGCAATTTGTTTGGGATTTCAACAGAGCAAGAGTGTCGGCTAGCAACGAAATACAAGAAGGGCATAATCACAAGGTTGCCGACTTGAAGCCCTCATAACCACATCAAAGCAAACACAGACACGCAAATAGCTGACACGAACAGAGACACAACCAGAAAGAAAGAAAGAAAGAAAGAAAGAAGGAAAGAAGGAAGGAAGGAAGGAAGGAAGGAAGGAAGGAAGAAGGAAAGAAAGAGATAGAGAAGGAAAGAGATGGAGAAGGAAAGAGATAGAGAAGGAAAGAGATAGAGAAGGAAAGAGATAGAGAAGGAAAGAGATAGAGAAGGAAAGAGATAGAGAAGGAAAGAGATAGAGAAGGAACGAGAGGAAGAAAGGAAGAAAGGAAGGAAGGAAGAAAGAAATAAAGAGATAGAGAAAGACAAAAAGAAGTAAATAAGAAAAGACAGAAAGAACTAGAGAGAGAGAGAGAGAGATAGACAGACAGACAGACAGACAGACAGACAGACAGACAGACAGACAGACAGACAGACAGACAGACAGACAGATAGATAGATAGATAGATAGATAGATAGACAGACAGACAGATAGAGAGAGAGAGAGAGAAAAAAAAAAGAGAGAGAGAAAAATGCACGAGAGGGACACGCTGAGACACGTAGAGCCCTTAACAAATGCAAGCACGGTCGATGAAGCTAGGAATGAGGCAGTGTCCCAGCTGCATGTTACACTCCATGTGAGCAGCCTGAGTTGTCATTGTATTGCTGGTGCTCAGTAGGGAATGACCTTCCGGGCGTTGGGAATGAGCCTAGGGATTCCCTCAAAAGGAAACCATCCCCGCCTATCGAACAAGCAAGTGTGTTCCTTTTCGCCTCTGTGTGCCGTGCCGTGGCCGCATTTGGAACGTGACTTCGGCAGGACCTTTTCGCACCCTGGCGGGCGTTTACCCTCATGGCAAGCGGCGCGGCAGCATTTGGTTGGGCCGATGGGAAGTTGCTTTCCAAACTGGGAACCCCCCAACGCACAAACATGTCTCACTCCCCGAGTTCGACTTGAAACGTTTTAGGAAGACCCCGAAAGTGCCAGTTTTCCTTTCGGTTTCAAGGCGGTGTCCAAACAAAAGACACCCCCGTTTGGAGGAAAGCCAACAGAGACTTTTCTGGCCACTCAGGAAGTGGGATGCTTTTCAGGGGACCCAACCCAAACCTTCGAGCTGGCCTTGTAAGCCACCCGTATTTCAGGAGCAGAACGCAAAGGCCGAAGAGTTGGCTGGAGATGGTGCCAGGGGTAGTTCGAGATAGCATAGCAGTTGGAGCCAGCTGTTTCACTGCACCAAATAAGGGCAGCATGTTCTTTTGAGAATCAATCGCCTTTGATCTTGTTAGGTGTTGGTTTTCTCGGGGGGGAAGCCCTGTTGGTTGGTTTGAAAGGGAAACCAAGAGGAAAGCCGAAATCCAGTTTGTGGGTACCCCTATTCTCAAAACCCACCCAGTTCCGAAAGCAGATAGGTCCAGTTCGGGCCTTCCACGTGCGGATCCATGACACATTGGCATCGCATGCGCTGCAGCGACACTTGGAGAGTCATGGGAGACTCGGCAGCAGACGCAGCAGGATTTCTCGCATGGCTTTTTCGCCTCCCAAAAAAGGGAGACTCAGCAAATATGGAAGAACCATCCAAAAGGCAACACCCCCCCTCCAGTTGTCTCCCCCCAATTTGTGTGGTTTCCTCTTGGTTCCCTTTGAAGCAAAACCCAAGAAGGTTGCCCGCAAACAATGGAATCACAATCCGGCAAGCCACGTTTGGGGATGTCGGCGGTTCCCACCTACCTCCTTTCATGGCTATGTGAGGCAAGAACGCTGATCTTCTCCCAGGTTCGAGCAAAAACACGGCAATTCTAGCACGTGAACGAGGCCTTCGGGGGTGTTTTTTGGCTCATGAGACGGGCCTGGATGGCCAGCCATTCCGTTTGCCCCAGGAACAAGAGCGATCGGAAGGTCAAAGCTACACGACGAGGCAGGGTACTCTCTGGGAACGCGTGATCATTGACAGCGGAAACATCTCCGCACAGATGAGCCTCCTCATTGGGGGGTTCGAACGAGCTCACCCATGAGGGCTTCTTGGGGATGTCTGTTTTGCAAGTTGCAACCAGTTTGCGAAGGCGCCAACGGCTGCCTTGCATTTGGAGACCTTGACTTTGACACAATGATTCAACGACTGCTCAAGCAAGGAGCAGGTGAATTCTCAGCCGGACTGTTTGTCGCAAGCTGTTCTGCGGCTCAAGTTGAGGGGTCAGGGGTTGAGCTGTCAGGCATGCAAGATATGATTGTATATGTGTATATATATATACATATATGGTTTTCACGACAACACGCCCACAAGCAGGCAGGCAGGCAGGGAAGCAAGCAGGCACCCAGGCAAGCAGGCAAGCGAGCAAGCGTAATGCTCACGATTGAAGCACAGATCGTTGCAACCATGCCCCGGCCGATAGTGTTGTTGCTGAACATGTGCATTACCACTGGGACGGCTTGCATGTGGCTGTGCCTTGATTTGACATCGGTCTTCCTTCATCATCATGCAGACGATTCAATCTTGCCAAACATGTTCCGCATGTCCCCCCCCCACAAAAAGAACAAACGAGCAAGAAACAAGTAATGAGAACATCCAACACGACGTTCATGTATTACTGTATTAGTGTCCAATCAGGTTTTCTCGGAACAAGTGCACCAAACACAGGTCCTTTGGGAAGGCCAGGAAAGGCCAAGTCCTGAATCGGAGCAAAGCCAGTCTTACCCGCTGCGTTGAACAACCCCTCAAAAAGACTCGCGAGCTTGGAGTACAAAGTGCTCATGGATCTGCACTCTGATTTGCCAGTGGAATCTGGGCATTTCCATAAGGCCAGGGTCTTGGGAATGCTTCTGGGCCGTGGGCCTACTTTGCAGGCCGAGTGCCTTTGATGTGGTCCACCACCGGTGGTAGCGCAAGTCCTGGCCGTAGTACCAGCCACAGCTCCCAAGTTTGGAGGAAGCGCTAAGCTCCGTCTCACATTCAGAGCAAGCCGCTTCCCGCCGTGTTTCACTACATGGCAAGGCTTGGTGCATGGTTTCTTGAGGTTCCGCAGAGATCCCTTAAGTGATTCACACATCGGATTCATAATTGTTTATGCTAGGAATAGCCGTATTGCCGAGCGGAAGCTCCAGCTGCCAAGAGGAAACCTTGAGAAGCTGTGTACGTGAGGAGAGCGAGGAGAGCGAGGGGCCCCTGGCCATTCTGTCGCATCGCAAAGTCGCGAGAGTTCCACGGGCAGGCCCGAGGACCTTTTTTTTCGCCTTCACGGCCCTCTCGGAGGAGCTGAAATACCGGCTCCTAGCGTGTGACACCTCAAAAAGTTGCAGCCTGTGGAGAGACATGTCCGCCCCTCAAGGTTCTCAGAAAACTCTCAGAAACCCATACAAGGTTCTAAGAACCCGTCAAGCACGGGGTGCCCTTGGTGGTTGTCCCCTAGTTTAAAAAGGATTGGGACAGTATTGTGCTGGTGGGTGAGATGTTTTGAGTTGCAACCCGCACTAATCGTCAAAGGTCTCTTCTTGTTATTCGTGTTTGCTGTCTTTGGGGTGAGAGTCTGAACAACTGTAACGGGCAATGAGGTGACTTTGCAGACCCGCTTGTGACATTTACCAATCCTCGGAGTGTGTGTGTGTGTGTCCGTCTGTCTGTTTGTGCATCTGTTTGTTTGTCTGTCTATCTCTCTG